ATAAGAGGATTAAGGATAAGGGCGGGGTGGGGTGGTATGATTGGAGAAGGATGGGGTGGGTGGCATGATTGAAGAAGGGTGGGGTGCGTGGCATGATTGAAGATGTGTGGGTTGGGGGTGATTTACCGTGAGGCGGATGTGTGGGGTGATATATCTGGAGGCAGGATATGTGTGGTGACATTATTGCAGACGTCAGGGGTGGGGTAATACAAGTAGAGGTGGGATGAGTCGGAGGTGGGATATGCATCTGGGTAGAAGCCGTGAGGTTGTGGGATATCCTTGGAGATGTGTGGCGGAAATAAATGGGTATTCTCAATTCTATTAATTATTTAATTGCTGCTTATGATGATTATTATCATGATGATTATAATCATGATGAGGCATTATTATGGAGCACTTTCATTTTCTAACTCTAATAGATCCATAATCATAAACTGCTTCCGAGACATACCGTATCGCGATGTTAAAAATATAAAAAGCCTCTCATTAATTAAGTCAAGCCCTGTAGTCATTTAAGAAATTGCTCTCAAATTGCTCTCAAAACACTCTTGAAACTACAACGTCAAAATGAACGGAAAATGACGATATATTTCAGTCAACGTTACCACAATTTCACTGCCATGACTCATGCAACTTTACCAATAAGTCGCTGCTAGGACGTGCCGCACTGGGTGTGGACACTGACCAATAGGTTACTGCTAATAGATTCAGCAGAATGAAATAGTACGAATAAATCACTGATGTGAAATGCAGTAGTATTGACGCTAATCAATGTGTTACTTCTAATGCATGAGTATGCGGATGGCCTGGTCATTGATTAACCTGCTGCTGATATATGCGACAGTATTGGCAACCTTACCAATATATTACTATTTTTAGATAAATCACCGGAAACAGTATGCAACTGTCAGTAGGTTACCACTACATACATAATATCAGGAGTGGATCCACTCCTGATAATATAGAGTCTTACCAGCAAATTACTTCGGATGCTCTTAACATTATGGATCATTATCGTTGGTTTACACCGGATTCTTTCGACGTTATGCAACATTATTAATAGATTACGAGATATCGCTTGACGAGTATCTAGAACCTTATTAAATTCTCACTGCGGACACGTACCGAAGCACGAGTAATCTCCGCCTGTTTTCCCCGGCTTTGCAGTTACATGAGCATTAGAGAGAAAAACCATAGTTTCCTAATGATTTCCGTACACAGTTCGACAGTGATTGCTTCCCCCGAGCAAGATAGATTGGCTGAACGCAATCAACGCAATATATCTATTAGGCCATTGCCTATAGTGAATATAATAATGGTTGACTACAGAACAACGACTGTGCGTGTAACAATGACTGACAAATGGGCGACGACCTCGTGTGGAATAGTGAATAACTGATAATAAATGACTGACGATATGATAATGGACGACATGGATAGTTGCTGTGTGTGGACTAACGACTGAATGTTGATGCATTAAATAGGAAGCAGCGACTGAGCGTGAAGTAATGACGCTGATACTGGTCGACAATAAGTTAGTGTGTGGAGTCGTTACTGACAACAAATGACGTACTTGAATATGGTAATTCGCTGATGATCACTTGCTAATAGTTGATTGGCTGATTGTTTACTATCGATCGCCTTGACACGGACGACTAATGGCGAGCAATAACGATTACAAATTATCTATGAGCGAAGAATAGCTGGAATTAACAGAGAAAAAAGATGATAAGTGACTTCGTTCCCACAGCGGGCGAGTAACCAGTCCGTGATTTCATATACGCAGCGGAAACACAGTTTAAAGTCTACTTCAGTTTTGCTGAAAAAACTCTAGTCTGCATCTAGTTTAGATTACATTTTATTTACAAAGGAATAAGAAACATAATCCCACATTAGTGGGAATTCTTATCCCTTTTTAACTGCGCTGCCGCCAGGGAAAAGCATTTATGTACTTCTCGTGCATCTCTGCGCAACTTGCCGCTGACATTTGCTACAAGAAGCCAGTCAGTTCGCTATCACATATATCAACCCTTTGAATTTCTTATAATCCCTTTTCGCTGCAAAAACGCCTACGATAGAAACGAGGCATTAAAATCGTTCGTCTGCAAAAAGTTTAAATTTCCGTCTGCCCGCGCTCCACATCATACCCTGTCTCACGTGACGGTCACTAACCGATTGGAGACAACCAAATGTAGGCGTGTGTTCGTGCATGTGTGCGAATAAGTGCGCGCGTGTGTACGTCTGTGCGCGTGTTTAGGCGTGTGTGCGCGTGTGTGAGCATACGTGAGTGCGTGCATGCGTGCGTGTGCGTGCGAAAGACAGGCGATTAGAGGCGTTTACTTGTTCGGATTACGTGCATCGTCACTAGTGTCCAGCCTGTCATATTACTGCCCATCTACTTATAAAAACACTCGTTATCTGCATAGCGTTTACCTGTTATTTCAATACCTACCTAACTATTATCTAGCTTTCATACCAATAGCAACCCATTTGTTATCTCCCTGTCAAATTACTAATTATATACCTGTTATCTACCTGTTATGTTACTAGTTAATTACTGACCTGCTATCTATCTAACATATCACTGGTTATCTATTAGTTATGTACTGCCCCAATTAGCAACGGCGTTTTGAAATCATAATCTTGTAGTACAGGATGGTCTCGCAGTAGAAGCCAAGATAGTAGAATAGTCTAGCGCAAACATAATCCTATATTTAGTTCCATAATAGAAATAATCTCTAAAATAAAAATGAATCGAACGAAATCTTTCAAAAAAATACATGTTATTTAAGGTATAGTTAAGGTTATTTACCATGTTAAGGTATTAGGCCAATAAAACTATATCCAGAAATGTTTCAGAGCGGAAGGCTTCATTTTTTTTGGCGACAGTACATCACACTACATTACATTACACTTAATTACTTTACATATTCTTATATTATATTATATTATATTATCAAGTATCATATTATATTATATTATATTATATTATATAACATATTCGTAACTATATGCTAGAGCAATCAAGTTTGCGGTCATAGGAGGATGTACGTGTCACCTTCAAGCAATATGTTAACCTTCAGTATGTGTTCGAAGCTGATAACAGTGCATCGTTAGTTAAGATTCCTACATGCGGTATGGTTTGGTCCAATTAGCGTGTTACATCAAAGATATAGAATAGAGTTTCTACTCCATATCTACGGTTAAACTTGAAGATCATAAGCATTGCGTAACGCCATTATAGTTCGTTTCACGTTCATACTAGCATTGGAATTCTGCGAGTAGGGAATTACATATTGTATGGTGTGTATTCGAGTTGCCTTCACGCAGGTGGAGCTTGAACATTATTTAGTATAACCCTAATGGCGATGACCCGTTTTGCTGCTTATCGACCAGCCTGGCGCTCCCGCGAAACGAAGCCAATAGCACATGCATGCTATTTATAGCGCGGCAATTTATCCACATTAGCCACAGTAGTGCAAAACATGACTAGCTAATCAGCTTTCACGTAATATTTACCAACTATTGGCTGATGCTATCATTGAATTTGTTTCCAATGAGCCACAAAATATCAATATCAACACTAGCATAGTGGCCCGTATACTGACGTATATCGACTTTGTTATGCAGTGAGCGCATTCAGCTCAATAATCTTGATTGCAGATCGCAGTGTCACTTTTTACATCTTCTGTTGCCCCACTCGCCCTCATGTTACTCATCTCTTTCTATCGCTACATTACTCTCCCTAACACGCTCTCCTCCTCTTTCTCCCCATCGCCCTTTTTCGGTCTATATTTCTCTATTTTTGCGTGTGCGACCGTGCGTGTATACGCGCCAATGTGTGCGTGCCTGTGTGTGTGTGTGTGTGTGTGTGTGTGGTGTGTGTGTGGTGTGTGTGTGTGGTGTGTGTGTGCGCGCCGTCGCGTGCGTGGTGCGTGTGTGCGTGCGCGCGCGCGCCGGCAGCTGCCGCAAGCTGCGTGCGAACACTTTCTGCCCGTAGTTCCCGCGCGTCCCCGGGTTCGAGCGAATTCGTCGTCACTATGATATTGATCAATGAAGAAGTGGCTTGAATGGCGGCAATTAGGAACACTTGTTGCAGCCATTGCTCCGCTCTCCGGGTACTAAACGCCCTCCTATTGCAGGGCACAGCACCTCCCGGCCTAGCAATTATTTCTCGCGCTGCTAGTGCCACGCCATGAAAACGTCCGCCACACTTACACCCGACTGCTGCAATTAAGACGTCATATAGATCTGTACGTAGCAATAGTAGTAGATGTAGTACTTCCCGGTACCTCCTGCTAATGTGGCGCCATTTTAGATATGAGTTGAGTCGAGCGCGCAACGCGCAACTGTTTACAACAAATTTTTCTTCTTCGAGTAAGACACGCATGATAGTGCTGTATTATATAGATAAAAATTCAAAATAGTTATAGTGCATCGTGTTCAGCATGCCTTGTTTTTTTTTATAAAGATGATAGCATTCCACCTTTTTAAGATGTTTTTTTTATGTACAACGCGATTTCAACTTATTCTGTGACATGCTGTGACTGACACAGAGCAAAAACAAGCATAAAATAAGTAGTAAAAGACTTTCTCGTCTTTCTTATAGATTGGCGGATACGCCGCCCTAAAACAAAACAAATAATACATGGTTCCTTTCGTTCGAAGGCTTCACGCTTGATCACACGCAAAAAAACGCCGTCCTCTCTGATTAGTAATGGTAGCGCAGCGTGCCGGATGCACCGCACGAACCGAAAGAAGCCTACATCTATCATCATGGGCGGCTTCACGAGACGCTATATTGACGTACGTATACGTGCATCGGGTTTTCTCAGTAATTGAATCGAGAAACTTTATTCAATTCCGGGGTCGGGTTGTAATGACCGCAAGCTTTAAACAGAATGCAGGCTTTAGCAGAGTTGGTGAGCAGGCTTTAATGAATCTGAACGTAATAGCACCCCACGAACCACTCATATTATTAAAAAAAACACGTAACATAATTTTAAACGCAGATAATATGCATCTATATTATACGAATGCTTCACGTGTAGTTGTTATATCGATATATTATTTACAATAACAATTACATCTAAATATGCTACGTAAAAAGTATGTGAACCCCAACTCGTACATTCTCGTAACAGCGTACATTTACGCGGCGTGCACATAAAAAATTATACGCTTGCGAGCTGACGCGCCCGGGTGGCATGACGAAAGATGAAACAGATGAGACAACAGGAAGAAGAAAAAACTCGCGGACTCCCTCACCGATTAACACCAACACGTGTCAATTAACCTAGTGCAAACATCACCCGCGTCCGACTGGCGTCTTACCGATTGCAATTTTCACGACGTTGAATATCAGCAGATTCGTATCAAAACATCAAGCAGCCTCTAGTTCCACCGACTCGAGGGCTACTGCTTTCTCAGCTTCACGCGCCTAGCACTGTTAACGACTTTTCAACCACATGAGTTGAATTTTCATTAACTGGAAATCCTGAAAAAATTGCGCTCTAGTCCGGTAATCTTGACTGATGAAAATATCCGCGCAGGACACTCTCTTTATCTGCTAATATACGCGTGCGCGCGTAAATAAACACAGTGACACTGACGACACAGCAGATACGAACATTATTCGCCAAGCGTACAGTTGTTTTCGACACGGAAAAACAAGCAAATATTCCAACTTCAAAGAAAAAGAAACTAGCAAACCAAAAACAATGAAATGTTTGAGAGAATACTCGCAAATTTTGAAGACCAACGGAATAGGTGGCCGAGTACAGTACACGAACTAATAGTAGTCACAAAAGACCACCACCGAGCACGTGACAAATATAGCACCCGCTGATATAAAACTACCAAGATAGAACAAAATAATAACGAACATCCATAGGTATTGCGATAAAAAAAAAATGCGGATGGATTGGTCATAGCCTAAGAAAGATGACATCAAACATAACTAAGAAACTCTTGGCAGTCGCAAGAAAAGAAGTGGACGTTTTCAGAACACTTGGAGACAGAAGGATGAGACAGAAGACGAAACGAGCAGCTGCACGTCTGGAGCGACACTGAATAGAATGAATCAAGCCGAGCTCGCTGCAGGGGCCTCGCTACACAAAGAAGAAAAAAAGTAGAGCATGAAATGATACGCACAATACAATGTCATTAAAAAAGAAACATTTCTTTGTATCACATTGTGCCTGATAGATAATTTAAATAATCTTCCCGCTTCTTTTGTCATTCATTCATGAGATATTTAGATTAAAATCAAGTTTCGTTCATTGGTTTTCGCTTAAGGTGCATTCTTCTCTAGTCGAAGCCATTAAAGTATATACACTCATATCAGCGAGTGATATAATATAATATCAAGAGTTTGATATACATACATACACACATTTGTACGTGTTGCTTCGCGCATTCTGCTCTCCCACAAGCACACGCTACACCGTAACAAGTAAATAACGCGTCAATGGCACGCGTGTATTTCAGCAGAGCTAACGAAACACACTACAGCCGATCTCACACGCCGTCCCGTAGCCCGCGCGCGTTCCATCGCTTCCTCGTCTGCAATGTCTAATCCGCAGACTATCGCCGTCAGCTCGCTAATCCCATCCCCACCGCCTCGGCCGCCTCCACCGCTGGTTTCTCCGCCTCGCCCGCCTCCACCGCTGGTTTCACCGCCTCGCCCTCCTCCATCGGCTTCTCCGTCTCGTCGTCGGCCATATATCGCTCTCGCACGTCGGCAGTCTTGAAGTATTCAAACTCGGCGCCGACGGCGGACGACATGAGGCCGTAGAGCGTGTCCTGCTCCTTGTCACCAAAGATATAGCCGTTCGCCTTGTCGACGGTCTTGAGCAGCCGCAAGACGCTCTCCCGGTCCTAGCAGAAACGACAAGCGAGAACAACGCGCGTTAGTCTCTCTCTTCTCATTGCGAACTAGGCGAGTAAGTGACCGCAATGAAAACGAACAGAATACAGGTAAGCATAACATAGGCAACAACAACAACATCATTAACAACAACACCAACAATAACAACAACAACAACAGTAGCAGCAACAACAATAGTGAATACCAACAATATCATCATCATCATCATCATCGTCATCATCATCGTCATCATCATCATCATCATCATCATCATCATCGTCATCATCATCGTCATCATCATCATCATCATCATCGTCATCATCATCATCATCATCATCGTCATCATCGTCATCATCATCATCATCATCATCATCATCATCATCATTAATAATAATAACAACATAAGTAAGTCACAGGTAAGTAGCTCAGCAAATGAATCGATATTCCTTTTTAAAGCAAACTTTAAACAATTTAATTACCAGTGAGGTTATGTAAATAACAGTTAGATATAGTTATACGGGCAAAATGAATAGGTTCAATAAACACAGTGACGATAAAACATTCACAGTAGACAGCAAATCGCAAATCTCGTGTTGTGTGCGAAAGATCATCAATATACAAAATTACCGCGCAAACAATCTTACAGACACGTTTAAAAGGAAACCATTTTGATTAAAACGTTTGATTATCATTATCTTCTTTGGCGTGTTTCCCTATCTTTGTCACCCTTGGTAACTTTCGCTGGATTTCCCTTTCTTTCTCTTTTTCTCTCGTGGTCTTACCCCCCCCCCCTTTTTCTCTCTCATTCTCCATGTTTCTCTCTCTTTCGCTCTCTTTCACTATCTCTGCCGCATGACTGTGTATGTGTATGTGGCTTCCTTTTTCTATCCCATGCTATATTATATATCATATATATCCACTTCACGGTCCCTCCCTCCCTCACCTCACCACTTCTCCGCTCCATCCCTTGCGCCTCTCTCTCTCACTCTCTCGCTCGCTATCTATCTATCTATGTCGGTCTATCTATCTTTCTTTCTTTCTCTTTGTCTCTCTCGCTCTCTGTCTGTCTCTCGTTCTCTCTCTTTCTCTCTCTCTCTCTCTCCCTCTCTTCCTCCCTCCTCCCCCTCTCTCTCCACCTTTAAGTTTTGCTACAGGGCAGCGCACCGTCACGGTTCACGCGCGCGCATGCTTTAGCGTCAGCCCCGCATGCGCGCTCGGCACAAGCAGACATGGGTAATGAGGCCCAGTTTACATGGCGCGCCCGAGGCGACAGACGCAATAACACACTCGCCCCTCCCTCTCTCTCTCTCTCTCTCTCTCTCTCTCTCCCTCTCTCTCTCTCTCTCTCTCCTCTCTCTCTCTCTCTCTCTCTCTCTTCTCTCTCTCTCTCTCTCTCTCTCGCGCTGCCGGCCTCATCTCTCTCTCTCGCCCTCTCTCTCTCTCTCTCTCTCTCTCTCTCTCTCTCTCTCTCTCTCGCCTCGCTCTCTCTCTCTCGCCTCGCTCTCTCTTTATCTATCTCTCCCTCTCCCCCTCTCTCTCTCTCTTCCTCTCGACGAGCTGGCTCGCTATCAGCCCGCGAACCGGATGCAGAGCTTGGCTAATGCAGAGCTTGGCTTCATTCGCTGCGCTGCGTGTGTGTGAGTGGGAGGGATGAGCGATGGAGTGCGCGCGATAACTCGCCTGCGTGCAAGTACGTCGCTACGCCTGCGCGTGACGTCGACCGCGCAAGGCAGTGCCAGCTCCGCATAGTGTAGAGCTCACGTCGGGAGGTCGCACACGCGCGAGAGAGAGAGGGGGAGGGAGGAGAGAGAGGGAACGGGGAGAGAGGGATGGGAAGAGTGAGGGGAGAGAGAGGGACAAAATGATGGAGAGGGTGTGTGTGTGTGTGTGTGTTTGTGCGTGCGTGCGTGTTTGTGTTTGTGCGTGCATGTGTTTGTGCGTGCGTGCGTGCGTGCGTGCGTGAGTGTGTGTTTGGCGTGTGCGAGCGCTGGCGTTGTGTGTGGCACACGACGGCGAAAGGCATGAATGTCGTACATATCTCGGCGACAACAAGGTGCAGTCCCGAGCTGTGAAGCGGTGCGAGATACAGACGCTTTCCCGAACGAGATAGTGCTTCTCAGCGAGGGATTCGTCTGGGCGGGAATGTACATCCGGGTGAGGCAGTTATCCCGTGTGGAAGAGTTCTCCTGGGACGGAGTTCACAAACACAGACTCACACATGCACACACACACGTACGCACGCTCGCTCGCACACACACACACGTACGCACGCTCGCACACACACACACACACACACACACACACACACGCACGCACGCACACACACACACACACACACATGAATACACACACGCGCGCACGCGCACGCGTTCACGCACATGCACCAAGCTTCTTCAGTAAATAATATGGCTGGCGTGATTGCCTAGCACCACATGCTGGCTAATCACTGCTTATACTCGGCTGCACTTCTCCGCATGACGTCCCCTACCGCAACCTACGAGAGCATACCGCTAACCGTACCCTCCGCATACACGCTACGCTAACGCTCGCCCGCGCGCACTCACACACTCACACCCGCACGCCCACACACACTTAACTGCCCATCGACCAGCAGCGCTAAAGGGTGTTTCGGAGGATGCGCAGGGCAAGTCGAGATGTCCGTGCGCATCGCGCAAGCATCACGCTGCCCTGATCAGAGTCACCGCCATAAGATGCCGGGCTGAATGACGCCAGCCACACAGCGCCCGCAAACCGGACGTTCGCGCATGCGCATACTCTCACCGTGCTGCAGCGCGGATGAACACAGTTGAACCGCATCCGCGACAATATTTTGATACGGCGCGGATAATTACTTCAGGGTGAATACGCGTCCGGATTTTTTTTTGCGAGATGTACCATGCACCGTGTGTTACCGCGCGTAGCATATTATATTTTTACATGTATTTTTCATTTAAAAGTAGTAGGATATGAATCGAAATTATGGTTATTGTTGGGAGTTAGCGGTTTTGGTTGCAACAGTAATGAGTTCTGTCGTATGTGATTGTTTGTGTGAGCGCGCGCGCGTGCGAGATGTTGCAAAAATCCGGACGAGTAGTCATGACTTAACGAGATTGAGGATATTTATTTTAGCCAGCTTCGATCGTCAGAACTATCGACGGAATTCGGTATTCAGAGCGGCCGTTATCTGATAAGAGCGCCTCTAATTAGAGACGCACGCGTGGGGTTAGACTAGACGTAATTAATTCACTAATATGACAAGTACTGATCCAGACACGCACTTACATATACATGGTGCCTGTGTGTCGGCGTGGTTTCATAGTGCGAATGGTATATATACGAATACTGCATGCCCTTATATAAATTTTCCATGATAAAAGAGTTGACGCACTGCAGAATAACCTCCATTATTCACGGGTCTTGGTGATGCGACCGTGACGCAAAAAAATCTTTGATAGACATTAGACGGATGTATAGACATTTACGATATATCACATTCAATGTTTATCGAAAATGATCGTAGATATTGCCCGATAATCGAGTAGTGGCGGCCTTGGATCCTAGCGTTCTGTGCCTACGGTAGCTAGTCTTATATACTATGCTCTTATTACCATCATCATTAACCAAACGAACAATATACGTTTAGAATATATACCTACTGTACCAGTTGCCCATATGTATACCCTGTCCTTCATCGACATTGCATCACATTTTCTCTGCAACCGCCTAATGATAATCAGCTTTAAGACAGAATAAAATTGCACAATGTCTTACGTGACGTGTTACGCCTTACTATAGGCCAATAACGCAATAATGTTCGCACACCTGGCAATCCACTCATTTATTTGCGCAGCGTAATTCAATTTCCTCATCAGGGGGAGAATATATATATATATATATATATATATATATATACACTCCCTCCTCTACTCTCTTCTTTCTTCTCTCGCGTCTCTCTCTCGCGTCTCTCTCTATCTATCTATCTATCTATCTATCCATCTATCTATCTATCTATCTATCTATCTATCTATCTATCTATCTATCTATCTATCTATCTAGCTATCTCTCTCTCTCTCTCTCTCTCTCTCTCTCTCTCTCTCTCTCTTTCTCCCTCCATCCCTCACTCATTCTCTTCCCCTCCTCTCACCTCTTTCTCTCCACCACGCTGCCTCTCACTGCCTCTGTCTGCCTATCTTCTCTCTCTCGGTCTGTCTCTTTCTCCCCCTATCTCACATGCACGCACGCACGCACACACGCGAGTCCAGACTCTCTCCGCTCAGTTTCCCTATATCTTACTCTATCTCCCTGTTTCCCTCTCCCACTCTCTATCCCTCTCCCTCTCTGTCAATCGATGCAATCGATCATCAATCACGGAGCGCACGGGGAGCTTAATTTGCATGTCAATGCCGTGCCTTGCCACATCTCCTTACTCAAAGGGATAATAATAGCAGCTGGCCCGGAGCAGTGACTGCGCCCGATTTGAGCTGAAGCCTCCCCCCAAACACACCCACGCGCTTACGGAACATCGGCAGCAGTCGAGTGTTTAAGAGCAATATTCAAACGGATGCGTTGCAGGGGAGATACCTGACCTGAATATTACGCGCGCAGCACATGGGTGATAACTTGATCAAACGGGAACTCACTCGCTACTACATATACGCGGCATGCTGCGGTGAATCGTGACCTAACTTAACTACGAGTCTACGATTAGTCGATTACGCGCGCGCGCGACACAGAGAAGACTGCGATACGGAAGCATACGGAGTTTACTTTATTTTTTGGGACAGATCCCTCTGTCTGCGATCATTTTTTTGAGTCGGATCGGAAAGGGGATGATACTCCATTAGTGTTCCCAACTTTAATGTCATTAATGGTCATAATAACATATATATATATATATATATATATGGTTATGGTCATATATTAGTTTGTGGTTTAATGTCATTTAGGTTAGAGTTAAGGTTAGGATTATCAATCATTAATCATTAAGGATATCAAAGTTGGGAACACTCCTAATGGAACGTTAGCCCAGAAAGGCCTAAACATACGCAGACGTTTCTGTGACGTCCATCCACCCTTCGACGGATGATCTGATAGATGCGACCTTTCACAGGATGTATTATAACTAGCAGCAAGTGCTCATCGGCTGATTTCATGTTCTGCCATATTTTTATCTACTCGAGTTCACTTCACTAGCCGGATTTTTATTTTTTATTTTTTTTATTTATTAAATTAAAGACGGTACATCGGTAAAAGATATGTAAAGATGAGCTTGCAAGCTCCTCACCGTCAGCGCAACAATAAAAAGTTTATAATTAAAAAGTGCTATCTTAACAAGTGATAAGTGCCGACACCAGGGGCAGCTAGGTACCCGGATCACGGATTCCTGACCTGTTTCGAGATCCAAAATATCAAGGGCGTATAAAGAAGGTTCTTGTATAAAGAAGGTTCTTTATACGCTCTTGAAGATATTAAACCCTAACAAATACGCTGCTTTATGATGAACATTTTTATACTAGCACACATTCATTTTGGGGAGAGAGTCGAGAATATAAGCGCACATCACGTTAAAGATCCTTAATGTCACAATAATCACTCCCAATTACGATCGATCTGTTTTTTGACCTTGATCAGACGATGTGAAGGGGTAGCGAGAATGTGTGCAGAGGACAGCCATGAAACCATCTACATGGATGTATAGCGCCAACGCCCATCAAACAACCAGATGTGGTTATCTGTACGTTCTGTGATGTCAAGGTATAGGAGCTCTCCAATTAGCTGACTAGTGCAGCTACAGTGTATTAGTATAACTCAGTAAGAATGTGTTCTACTCTGACACGGACTACAACTAATTGCCAGTGTGCTCCACATTACTGCCCAGCTACATAGCTAAGCTGCGGCCAATGTCCAGCATGCTTTGCATGGACTGACCAGCTAAATAGCTAGAGCTAATGCCCAGCAAGCTATGTACGGACTGTCCAGCTAAATAGCTGCAGCCAATGTCCAGCAAGCTCTGTACGGACTGTCCAGCTAAATAGTTGAAGCTAATGTCCAGCAAGCTATGTACGGACTGTCCAGCTAAATAGCTAGAGCTAATGCCCAGCATGCTCTGCATGGATTGTATAGCTGTACATCAATAGCTCTTCCATTTCTAAACTCTATTGCGTGGAGATCAAGAGAGATCCTAAAATTCCTCAGAGAAAATTTCACTTTTTATCAGACCTACACCTTTTTGACAAATTCTTCTAGGAATAAGGAATCTTAATAACGAATACATGAGATATTTAGATTATTAAATTGTAAATTTTATAAACAATGATTAAATTTACTTAGTGATATTTCATTTTCTGAATACAATGTAGTGGATTCGAACCTAACAGGAAACGTATATTGAATGTGGATTAAATACATGCACACATTTCTGAATGTGGTCATCAATATCGGTGCAAAGCGTACAACAGTTGATTTAGAGTTACAACATCCTATCCTTAGATGAATTGAAATTATGCGAGAAATATATAGGTGGCAGCACTCTACACTCCAGTCCGCTAAAGGGTACTACTGCCATCACTGTAGTTTTACTTTTACAAGAAACAGGGCACAGTATTTTTAGCAATAACTCATATTGCATGCATCAAACATATAACACATCCACAGCTCCTTCCTTTTCTATGTAAGATGTAGTTAATGAATGCACAAGGGGCAATGCAATTAAAAAGCATTAATAAACTCAAAGTTAAGAGATATAAGTAAGCACAGGGGTATGACTAAAAAAAGTGTAAAAAGTAGTAGTAAAGAAAGGATGAATGAATTATATCTAGAACAAGTCACAGAGGAAGATTGAACAAGAGAGGTAAAAGGTTTACAGAAGGAATTGGTTAGATGTGTGAAATGTATCACAGGAGGAATGTGTTACACATCTAAATATCTATTAGGAAGTTGGAGGAGAAAGAATGGGTTATATGTGGACAATTTTAGAAGAGGAATGGGTGAGAGACAGCGAATCAGGGTATTAGCCAGGAATGAGTATTGTGGGTGCAATTTTACAAATGTACATGGCTGTAGATCAAAACTGACCGTGCAGTTTCAAAACTGACCGTGCAAATCACGGCTGCACGGCTCGCTGGCTAATGCAGCGAATCAGTTAGACGAGTGATTTAGAGAGGAGCCACTGACCTGAATAGCGAGAGTGTGGAAGGAGACAAGACTGTAGTCTTCGATGACACCACATAGTGCCTCATTAAACTTCTTAAACTTGGATGTGAGAGGGTCATCCTGAAAAGACAAGATGTACATGCTGTGAATTTACTTATGTCTCATCATCTCCAGTTTAATGGTTTTCTTATGCTCCACAAAATTGCCATATGATAAATGATTAATCGATAGAAAAAAAGAAATCAAAGAGTATTGAAAAAAATCTTATAATAATATCGACCAGCATCTTTGTTGTTTACCATCCTTTGTCTCCGTTCTCACGTTAAATAATGCGAAGGCAATGAGGACGTGTGTGTGACCTTGGATCCCCTTACACTAACGTGATGTAATCACCATCTTTTAATGGCTTAATTTCAGTGGATGTTTGGCTTAACGGACAAACCTCAGAAACATATTTTCTCTGCTAAGTGAGGTAGAATAGTGCACACCATTCAAACAGAAAATATCACCATGTAACATACGAATTGTGTGGTTTCCGGCCTGCATTAGCTGATTCTCTAGATGTTTGACACAGCTACATCTGCCATAAATGATTAGAGTAACACCAGCTAAGCTGTAGCATTGTACACGATTTTATGACATGAAGTGAATAAAAGAAGGTTTTATTTTGTAAGTGTGTTGCCGCACACAATCTGGACTTTCTCTCTCCCTACACTCTCTCTACACACACTCTCTCTCTCTCTCTCTCTGCATCTCTGTCTCTACCCTCTCCGCCTCCTCTACCTCTCTACATTGCCTCGCCGACTTGTTTATATGTGAAGACTGGCAGGTTCAGAACCAATTGTCAATTAGGTCATGTCAACATACATAAATATATGCATGAGGTTGACGTACTCGGGTATACACGTCCTCCTTGCCCGCATGTGACATGACATCACTGTGTTACATTACCTTCCATGCTTCCATCACATAGCTAAGGTCCAGCACTTCGGTGTAGAAATCTATGTTGAAGGGAAGTTTCCCAAACTGCTGGATCAAGTCAACTTTGGAAAGCACGTTCACATGTGGAAGTTCAACCTCAATAGAGTAAGAAAAACATTTACATTAATCCCACTTGCTATTACCTATGATCATTGTCATTCATTTTGCGTGTAGTAATGTCTCTAAATTAGTTGTTCGTGGTGTGCCTTAAACACACAGATCAGTTCCTATTATGTGCAAAATGTAGGCTAGTACATACTGGTCCTTAGCTCGTACATACAGCAACAGCAAACTTAAAAGACCGCTAACGGTATATAAAAGCAATTAGAAAATTACATTAACAAAGTAGGTGAGGCATTGGCATACCTGCAGCATAGTAGCAAGAGACGTCAGCAACACAGCTATAAACTTTGTGGGATCACTACAGTAGTGAGAGTCTACCAGGTGTACAGATGCCAGGCGAAAGTCCCACTTCACAAGCTGCGCGAAAATGTTCTTTATCGCAGTGTGGTGGGTGTACAGCTCCACCTGTTGGGTGAAATGGTAAATTAGGACACAATTGGCTATCATTCGTCACAGTTAAAGCATACGTTTGGTTCTGGTTACCAGCTATATTCCATGACTTTATTATTTGCACTTACATTCTAACAAGTGCCGCAGAGCGACCGCGCTCAACTGACGTGTACTGTAGCCGGGTATTCTTCTGATAAACTCACTGGCAACCGAATTAATTGCGCCCTCCCACTACCGCGTTCGCGCTCAGAGCATATATCTAGGATACTACTAATACAGATCTAAAATCTATGATAGGCTTTGCTATACCGGTAGTACAGCAATAAAGATACAGCTGTGTAACTTTAATGACTTCGCTATATTAACATGTTATCATGGATATGCGGCGAGCGCGAGCGTAGTGGTGGTGGTGGGGGGTGTACAGGCGGGTGGAGGGGGCTCTAATAGCAAAAGCAGTTCAGTCCTTTGTTAACAGTCAACAAATCCATGTTTAACCCTCCTCTTGAGGGTCAAAAGGTTATCAGACACTTACTCTTCGCACGTCAGTGGAAAGTACATTTCATGGTCCTTTCAATAAAGTGATAAAAATGGTAGGTCAGCGCTGAAACAAAAAAGTTTTGCACTCGGTCTGTTAGACCATGTCCTCAGAAAATGTCTGATATCTGACCTTTCCCCCACTGCCCTTTGACCTGTGACCTCCAATTTCGCGCTGGTGATGGGTTTCCTCCCCATCACACTATACATCGAATATTAAGAGCGTAGGTCGAGCCGTTGAGATTTGTACCGCAATTCCGTATTTCCTCCTATACCTTAAGTTAAGGGGGAAATATTCCCCCTCCATTGACACGTCTTGACCTTTGACCCTTGACCCCCCAAATTCGACATCCCTTTGTCCTTTTCGCGATCCCCCCCGACGTCACAAATATCAAGACCGTACGTCAAGCGGTTAAGATTTGTGCCGTAACTGTTGACACACGAACGGACGGCCGGATGGACGAACGGACATTCATGCGATTCTACAAGCTGCATCTGACTTCGTCAGCTGAGCTAATAATACCTCAAAATAAATCTCTTGTCATACACAGATGGTCCTATTGAAGCTATTCAACCTTAATAATTTGAATGTGATCATGAATATACCCAGGAAGAATTATGAAGAAAATAGAATGGCACATAACACCTAGAGAATGTAGAACACCCCGATTCTGATGACAAGGAAGAACAAACACCTCAGGATCTTAAAATGTGATCAGTGCTCGTTAAATGCTACATCAGGGGAGTGCAAGTATAATCTCTTACTTAGTATTAATCACTCACTAGTGTACTAATCTTGGTTAACACGGGTAGGAGTGCGCCGTGAACAATATATTTTAAATTGAGTTAATCTATTTTGGCCCATTCTTATCATTTTAGCCGATACATGCATCTAAAAAGCAACATAGTACAGACATATTCAATAGAATACCTACATGTAATTATAATCCATATTTACACCTTAATTTGGCATGAAAGCAGTACAGTGACAGTGACATGCGAGTACAGTGACATGCATATACCTGTCCTGGGCAGTCGAACAGAAAATAATGATCCTTATATCTGTCCAGCTGACTCTTCAACCAGTCCATGTTCTTCTCAAGATACTCCATACAGAAGATAAGACCACCATTTGGACCAAGCTTAAGACTGTCCATCACCTGGTTCAATAGAGATTGATATAATAGAGCACACCATGAACAAAAATAGATGTATTGTAACTGAAATACCAGCCTTTTTATTTTGTAAATTTCTGGAGCAGCGGAGTCACATAAAAAGTGTGCTCGTGATGTTGGTAATTATGAACGGACGATAACACACGATGTAATTTGTAAAGGATGTTAAACACAAATTTATGAGTAACCAAATAAACATATGGTAGCAAACCTTAACCTACTTCAGATACTGTTACAAGATCGCTGATATCTACATCACACATGTACGGAAGTTGATCGTTAGCCGGATCCAGGTTAACAATGACTACCTGCAAAAAAATTGTTCACAAGAAATATGTATATTGATGTAATGTTATCATCAATCAATAATCAAATGTTCTATAAAGCTGGAGCACTCATAGTACTCCAAGCTTCATGACTGTGATGCCTAGATTACCCTTCATATTTGGACATGTAGTGGCCTAAATACAATAATGTAACCCAACAAGAGTAGGGTTACAACGCGAGCCTATTCTTTTCTTTGGATGAGCCCCTGAGTGATTCACTAAGGGCGGTTTTATGGTGCGTTTTTCGAGACTAGAACTTCCAACCTGGGTTTATTCTAAACACGAACCTTTCTCCGCTATCGTGGGACTTACTATGTATCACAATACTGTGTATTAAACTAATATAACCTGTTACAAAATTTCGAAGTGACTAGCGGCAATATTTTGAGCGGCATTTCAGTTGACCTGTGACGTACGCATTCCCAATGCGCATAGCATTCAGCTACCTTCGGCTCCTCTGTTGCCTGACATGCTGGCTCTGGTGACGTCATGACTGACAGCACGCATCCCATGATGCATTCGATCTTGGAGCCGAAGTTAGCCGAGCGCTATATGCATTGGGAATGCGTACGTTACAGGTCAACAGAAATGGCGCTCAAAATATTGCCGCTCGTCACTTCGAAATTTTGTAACAGGTTATATTAGTTTAATACACAGTATTGTGATACATAGTAAGTCCCAGGATAGCGGAGAAAGGTTCGTGTTTATAATAAACCCAGATTCGAAGTTCTAGTCTCGAAAAACGAACCATAAAACCGCCCTGAGTGAATCACTCAGGGGCTCCTCCAAAGAAAAGAATAGGCTCGCGTTGTAACCCTACTCTTGTTGGGTTACATTATTGTATCTAGTAGTGGCCATACAGGGTTCTCCCCAGGATGAAATTGAAACAGGGGGGAGTTTTCCCAAACGGGGCGCGCGCGCCCCGTTTG